TAGGTTCCAGACATCACTGATTTGTAGCAGTGCCCTTTTAGCCCTGCACCACAGAATGAGCACTTCCTTCTTCCTTCTTTCCATTCTATTTGACTGACACTGAGAATATGTCAAAACCCTCTAAGCACTCAGCTGAACACCCACAAATCCGCTGACTTGATGATATCATGCCTTTTCCTCCTTCAATCTACCTTTGCAATTGTTTCCCACAGAAATGTCTCATTTGTTTTATTTTTTTAATCACTTAGAATCTAGCAAGTACGTACTCAGTTATTTTAAGCTTATTTAGGAACAAACCATTATCTTTAGTCAGCCTAAGACTAGAGTCTGTGTATCACCTGTTTCGTTATAAGCCCTCCCCGTTGTCATGGGTGAAATGTGCGTAGTACAACCTGCCTAGATACATAAATGACCTCAGGCACTGTAGTACATGATTCACTACATCCAAGAAAAGTGGGATGGGATGTTTTTCCCACAATGCAGGTGGGAACAGCAGAGGAACAGAGACACAGGCAAGGAAAATGTCTGAGCCAGAATCACACAAAGGAGTTCTCAAAAAGTTGTTTCAGACATTGGTTTCTTGTACCTCAAGCAAATACCCTAAGCAGGGGAGAACTCAGAACTGGAATCACTGTCTCTTAACTCTCAAGACTGATTATTCCATGCTGCTGAAGAAAATGATGGCTGGCACAAGGCTTATGCTCTGTCTGTCCTTTCTATGCCACTCTGCAGTTTGCTGAAGAAGACTGGCATGTGGCTTACCCTGACAAAAAACCTTTGCTCAGAATAAATGTTGACATTGAGTAGTGGTATGTGGGACTGGAAAAAAACAATTCTGGTATGGCCCTGAGTCCTGGGGACTTGAAACAGCTGGAGCACAACTGCTATTACCTCACTGCCAGAAACAGAATGCCTTATGAGGAAATGAGAACTTGAACGTGACTGCAAGTACTGAAACAACTCAGGGAGATTCAGGGAGATGCAGCAGTGGCTGGAAAGAGATGGTATGTAAAGGCTGCATAATTTGAAGAAATGCTGTTTTCCTCACAGGATAAGGGGATCTGATGGCCTCTGACTGCCAGTCCATGATAGTCCATGATGGCAGTTTTCTTCCTCTGTGGAGTGGGAGGTGATACAGCATATCTTTCATCTTGAAAGCCCTTTGTGTGTTTTTGTTTTGTTTTGTTGTTTGTTTGTTTGTTTCAGGGGGTTTTGTTTTGGTTTTTTTGGGGGGGGTTTGTTTGTTTGTTTTTGGGGTTTTGTTTGTTTGGGGTTTTTTTTGTGTGGTTTTTTTTTTGTTTGTTTGTTTGTTTGTTTTTTGTGGGGTGAAGGGGTAAGTATCTGGAAACAGGAAGTATAAGATGAAACATGGCCACTCAACTAAACTAACAGTGGCCACCCAGGTCTGGGCACAAAATGAATGGTTCCATGCTGGTCCTTCAAATTCAAAGACTATCTGAAAAGGTTAATTCTCAAAGTACCAGCTGAAGAAATGACCCACAATCCTTCTGTTACAGGCATTTGGATGTAATGAGGCAGTAAATTCAGCTATGCTTGGCAGTCATATGTGTTGTCAAGGCTTTCTTTATTCATGTGGTCAATAGAGACATGGGAGAAATTGTCAACAACTTTGAAGGCTTCTCCAGAGACCTTACCAACAATAGGCAACTCTGCTGCAAGACACATTTTAAGGTGCCGCTGTGAAAAGGATGGTAACAAACATGTAAGTTGTGAATTTTCACAAAATAATTCAATTTGCATTCTTAGAAATTGGGAACATGTATGGTTCTCAGCAAGCCAGTGTGAAAGTGACTGGTCAGAATTCCAGGGGCGTATCTGATGCAAGTTGAACATTTCTGCACTTTCTCTTTTTTTGGAATTTTTAACCAATATGATTTGTTCCTTTTTTTTTTTTTCATAGTGACTTTTCTGCTTGCTGTGCTATTAACAGTGCAGTCTTTTAAATTGTGGGGAACAAAATATCATTTAACAGAAACTGAGACACTAGTGAGTATCAAACCACTGTGGATGACACTTGAAGGCTCTACATTTTTTTACTTAGTAGATTGGACCAGAGAAGGGCACTGTCCCCTTGACTTTAGCTTCTGTCCAGAAAATTCTGTGGGCCAAAGAAGAGGGAAAGGTGACGCCCATGGGACCTCAATGTAAGAATGCTCATTAACTCAGAGAGATCCTGGTTGTATGTGGTCTTGATTTTGAAATAATCTATACATACGATTGGCTTTAAAGTATCAAATAAAATAGAGTTATTGCTGAGTTCTTGGAGACTCTGCCCATGCTTAATTTTTGCAGGATGGAAAATTGTAGCCACTGCACAGTGCTTAGTGCTGGAATTGGTTGGAACATTACAGTTTTGTGGAACTCTGGCATTTATGAAAGAAAATATTTTTGATGAGTCCTGTTTCTTTGTATACCTTTCTCTTGATTTCATCTTTTTTATTCACATATTTTTATCTGAGATATTCACTTTTTAGCCACTACCCTACTGAATATGCTGTTGATCTGGGAGCCAAATCTTGCATACTTAACATGTTAGCATTTATTTAAAATAGTCTTTTTAGGCAGTGATGTGCCATAAAGGCAGCCTGGTTAGAAAGGAAAATTAGTGAACAAAAGACACATCTGCACAAAAAAAAAAACTGACATAGAAAGAGCTGCCTGGAATTGTGAGCCTGGGGACCAGCCCTGTGAACTAGAGAAAAACATCCTTGAAAAGGGCAGCTGGCCTCTTTGAAGTACAGCTGAGGTACCTAGAAACCAGAAACATCCACAGATACCACTGATAAGCACCAAACAAGGAGACTGTAACAACAATTTGCCATGTGAAGATGGAAAACAGTCTGAAAAAATAATAGCTCTGAAAGAACTGAAAACAGCATCCCCAGTTGTCTGTGAAAAATAGAAATTAAACAGGATCTATTGGTTGCTCAATGCCCCACTTCCTTTTACGACTATGTGTTATTAAAACACTTTATGTTTATCCAAAAATGAACCTGAGAACTTCTTGGTTAAATCCCATACAACCTTTCTATGAACATTTGGGCTCCCCTCAGGGACACCTGGCTAAAAAAGTCTGTGATACACATCTTTTTGGAAATGGGATGCTACCAGCTCTATTACTGTTTAAGTCTGTCCTCCTCTCTTTCAGGAAGGGTTGGTCCCCCAGGCTGTTCCCACCTTTTGAGATGGATTTGCTGATTTTGGAATCTGGTGAGTTCACTTCATATGAATAACATAAATATTAATATAAGTAAACATAAAAAAATCTGCTGTTATATCATTGACAAATTTGCTTCATTCATTATAAACAGTAATCTAAAATATTCGATAACTACTTGGCTGCTGCTGTCATTGGTTGTACCATAATACTGATTCACATTATTATTAATTGATACCATGCTCTTGTTTGATAATATATATTATTGATGGCAGATATTAATTTGAAATAACTTGATAGCTATTCATTCATATTCATTTTACTAACAACAGATATATTTTCTAGTGGCAACTTTTGTTGTATTTGTGGTAATCTGTAATAAAGAAAAGAAATTCAGTGGGCAAAGCTTTCACATCCTCATGTATTACAGACTCCCACAAACCACAGCTATTATCTCTCCACACCTTTTTAAATAATCACTCTACCAATACTGCTTCCATAATGAAACCAGGTTAATATGGATGCTCAATCCTTAATGATTTTCAGGAGAAAGTGTCAAATGTTCTTGCTTGGTGTTGAGAATGATTTTGCTTTGGTGTGAGGAATTAATTTTACATGCCAAATGTAAATGTTACTTGCATTTTGTGACATTTCATCATAAAGAAAAAAACATCTGTGTGTTATGGCATCACTGTGGTTCAAGTTATTTAATTTGGATTTTTTTCTAGTTTATGTGAAAGTTAAAGGTCAACATGGTCAGAAAGTCTAAAGGAACTGGGCTCCATTAGAAGAGTACATGTTTTACCTGGAGTCCAAACTAAAATGGTTTTACAGTTCATTTCAGACAGAAGCTGTGTCACTGGCAGGGAGTGTTGCTTTCTGCCCAGAGGAGTCCTTCCCTTCCAACATGCCCTCTTCCAGTGTGTGTTCTTGAGCAGAGATGCAAACTGGCTCCTCTCCCATTGAAGCTTTACAGCTTCTCTTTGCCTCTCTCATGTCACAGCCAGCAGCGGAGACTGATGTCTGTGTTCTTAAAGAAGGTGCTTTAATTTGTAGGTCTTTGCTTAGGGTTTGGACAAGAAGCTGCTTTTATTTAAGTCTGGATATTTGGGAGTTTGTTTTCTTTTTTTTTTTTAATGGCTGAGGGCTTTTTCACAAAAACAACTCCTTACTGAAATCTACCGACTTGGTAATTTAATTGCCTGTGCTACCGCTGTCTGCTAGTAAACATTTGACCTTCATGTGTTGATCTGTTTGCTAAAGTGAGCAGTCAATTATGGGGAGGAATTCCCTTCAGTATTAAGATCTAAAAGATCTTAATATAAGTTATATATATATATAAATTTATTTATTTATTTATTTATTTATCTTAAAATAACTAGGTATTTCCTTTTCTGAGAGCAGAAGGTATGAGAATAGGGGTGCTTCTCTGTTTTAATTTGACAGCTAAAATAGTGTGACTTGGCTTTCCTCTTTAATATTTTACTCCTTCTTGGATAGGGTTTAAAAAGAAGCTGAAAAGGGCTTATTATCAGCCACTCACAACAATGAAATTAGGCAAACACACATTTGGCAGTGCAACACACACTGATGAGGGAACGGTTGTGAGGTTTAGAATATCTGCTGTTTCAATTCCCTGATTGCTTCAGAAAAATGGGGAAAATATTGACAGGCAATCCTCAACTGACTAGCATTACTTAATCTTTTTTTCACCATGCTGTTTTTTCATGCTATGTTTTTTATTTATTTATTTATTTTATATGTCATGCTTGAAGCAGGCTGCCAAGCATTTGCTATCTGCATGGAATACAGATACATTACTGGTGTGCTACCAGAGGAGGAAGCTTGTGGTAAGTCATCTTTCATTCAAAGCTGGAGTTTTGGTACCCTCCATTTTTCTAATCCTGGACTTGTCTCATCAGTGTTGATGGGAGTAACTCTGTCAAGAACACACTATCAGCCTGTGAGACTGACAGGATGGAGGAACAATGGTAGTGATGAAACCTGGGATGTGAGGAGAATTTGATCCAGTTCCGTGTAATTTGATATTCATTCTTGTTCCCCTACAGAAATACTCACTCCAAAATGGACTGCTTGGGAAAAAAGAAAGGTGTGATCTTAAGTACATCTCTGCCTGATGAAATCAGTTACTTCACATCTCTTAGAGTGGGAAGGGGATTGTGTGAGATGAAACTTGTTGTTTGCTTGCATCTTCTTGTGTGCCCCAGAAGTGCAATGTCAAACATCAGGCTTGTGTGACAGTGGTGTGTTTTGCCATGTAACTCGTTGCATTGGGCTAGCAAGGAGCTTGTGCCCATCTCTGCTTCTTCCAAGGATTTATCTGCTTTGCAGTTCTTTTGCAAAAATAGAAATAAAAAAGCTAGGGAGAAGAGGGAAGGGCTTATTTGGCCAAATTTATCTATTTGATTAAAATGCCAGGTTTTGGGAAAAAATAAAGAAGTAAAGAAATGAAAACATCCTTCAGTTTTCCCAGATAATGTATTTTGATGCATTATTTAACAAAATAACATGCTGTTGACTAAAACACAGCCTGACTTCTAATTATTCTTATCTGCTTCAGAACAGAAAATGTTAAAGTACGGACATCTGACTTGTTCAGGATCCTATTCCTGTCTGGGCTACTCTGACCAGCAGTTAAAACAGGTTTGAATGTTCAATTTTACAGCTTTTTAAGTAAGATTTTTAATAGTATGTGGAATGGGAAATGATAACAGATGACGATCAATTCTCACTGCTTACTCCTAAACACTTACAAGTTTTGCTGGATTGACTGAAAATCTATCATTACCTTTTGGGGAGGTAAAAAAGTGGGCTTAATAGCATTTCAGTGATTTTCCTAGTTAGGCAGAGTTTATGAATGAATATATATCCATGGAACTAACATAGAAATGGAAATTTCTTTGTTGGTATATTGTGTGTAACAGTGAGTTTGCATGGGTACAGCTGTTATTGGTTTATGCAAGAGGCTTATGCACATGGGCATTCTCAGGGGAGTGCTATGAATTAACCAAAAGTATGATCATTAGGAGTGTTAGTGAAAGTACATAAAGTCTGTGCTTCAATAGCTACACTGAGAAGCACAGTACTCTTATCCTGTGTTAACTTAATGGATGAGAAATGGGGATGCCTTCTTCAGAGTCAACATGAACCTCAAAATTTGATAAATGCTGGTTTAATCTAGAAATTCTGGTTCCCATCACTTTGAGGGATACTCTGGAACTGTCAGTAGTAGAGTGCCCTTGGCTTTCTTCATAAAGAGCACACCTATTGCCAGAGAGAGCTGCATGTGCTTGACTTTCTCAGTTTATTGGTGTCAGATCAAGTTAATACTGGTATTTTTATGAAAGAAAAATACCTTGATATACCTAGCAATACTGTTGCAAAGTTATGGGATGTTCATACCTGGATTAGAAAAATGTATTATTTGTTACAGTTAGCTGGGATGAGGAGTTTGGTTCAGCTGTATGTTACTGATATATCTGATCTCATTTTCTGATGGTTTCTTCTAGCTACTTGTGAGGAAAAAATAAAAAGCTTATTCAAATTACATGTAAATTAATATTATTCTAGATGCAGTGTGATGGAGTTATTTGGAGATGTATAATTAATTGATCTAACTTTGCTTGCAGTTGCACACATAGGCCTTGAGAGAAGGCTGGATAATGTGTAGTAAACTCTTGAAGTGAGTGTTCTGCTTCTGTATTTTGTGCTTTGAAAGGACAAAGTGGGCTTAATCTGACTCTTGCAGGTCTGTGCCATGGGCAGTGATGACTTTGTTTCCATATCTCTCCCAGACACTCCCCCTCTCACTACTGCATAATACTGCATTGCAGGAAAGCAGGAGAGCTGAGGGCTGAGCACAAGTGAAGATAAACCTGTTTCCCCTGACTTATAAAACACCATCACCACATTATTTTCAGGGTAGGATGAAGTTTACTCACAAGGGAGGAGAAGTAACAAAGAACTTCTTTCTGTAAGACAGTCATGCTAAAATTGTAAAATCTAGTTTATAGATTCCAGTTTATGACCCCATTAATCATTCAGAAGTGATCTATTTCATGTTCCAAGTATGCATATAAGTTCAAAGTAAAAGTGGGTGCTTATCTACAGGATATTTACAGATTGAGATCTATACAAGAAATGATTGGCCAGACAAAATAATTGTGAATATAATTTTTTGCTATTACTATGTTATTTTCTATTTAAAAATAGTGAAATATAGTGAAATATTAACCTAAAATTAGGTGAAATATTTCTTATATGCATTTATTGACAAATATTGGCTTTTTAAAATCCTGAATAATGATATCAACAAATGCTGATATATTTCAACAAATAGCAGTATTGGATATAGCTGAAGTAGATTTATTACTAAGAATTTTAACCTGTATTTCTGAGCCAGAAATTTGAGCCTCTGGGGGAGCCCCACTACCAGGATTGTCTTCTAGAAGATTTAAAGTGCCTTTTATATCCAGAGAGGCTTTCTGTTAATAATTTTTAATGGATATTTGGCCAAAAATAAGCTGGAAAATAAGTTACTCAAACTAAAATATTTGAGTGAAAATGAAAAAGTAGATGGAAGTCACTCATTTTTATTTTGAAAGGTTACTCTGTTGACTGCTGTGGGTCAGATTCTTTGCCCCATATGTTCACTGACACACTACAGCTGCTGACCTACTCTGGGTGCCGCAGTGCAGCACAAAGCTTTCATGGGATGCCAAAAATCATGGAATGCTGAACCTGGAATTGTGTCAATATAGGATGGCAAGAACCTGAAGAGCCTGCAGAGGAATTATGATGTAATTTTCAGATGATTCATTTTTTTTTGAAAAAAATTTTCCTTGTGTGGGAGAGAAATGCTGCTTCAAAAACTCATCTTATTTAAACTACTGCACTTTTTTTTTTTTTTTTTTTTTTTTTTTTTTTTTTTTGGCCAGGAAGCTTTTCTACTGAAAATTTCAGTCAGCCATGTCCAGGTTTTAGGGTGCTTTACTTACATATATGCTGCCAAAGATATACCCATTCCCACAGAAGACTGCCCTACTTCCTACAGGTCCTGATCTGCTTAGTTTGAACCTAGTCTGGATATTGACATAGTCATTGCAACGCTGCATAAGCGCAGCTAAAAGTACAATACAGACAGAACAGCAATTCCAGCTTTTCATTTGCTTTCTATTTCCTGAACTTCTAACTCCATAAAAATTTTGTAGTTTGTCAGGAAAAACAACTCTCTAGAAAGCGTCACTGTATTTGACTCTTATTTTTCTTATCCCAGACGCTGAATGCAAGGCAAAAATGGGAAATAAAGGAAGCAATACAGTGGGTCACTGAACCATCTGGGTTTAAAGCCTCATGTATTAAGGAGCCAACTTTTCCAGATGAGGATATACATATCCAGATGGGACATGCAACTGTTTCAAAGCTTGGAGATTTAATATTTTATTTCAATAATACTACAGTGACTCCAGTACTGATGTAATGTTGATACTGTTCCTTCACATATTCAGAGTTCAGTTTGAGCTAGAGATTCAGAATACTATTAAATGTATTTGCTACAGGATCTTAATACATATTCTGCACCTGTATTCCCTTAAGATTAATAAATAGTTTCTTTCTAAAAAAATATGTAAAAGGACTGCAGTGTTTGGATAAGGAAAGCAGCCAACATTTACTATGAAATGGGAATGGACTTCTTTTTTTTTAATGTATGATTTCATGTGAAATTGGAAGTTTGGTTCAGAATTTGTGTTCTCAACATGCTATACTTAGCAGCACTGTTAAAACCCCAGACCTACTGCATGCATATTTCTTTACCGCTGCACACACTCTGTTATTTAATGCTTTTCATTGCTTATGGACAAGAGAAAGCAAAAAAAAAATCAATAAAAAGTTTTATAACATGTTATGTTTTCTATAAAACACATAGAAAACAGTGTGCTGTTATTCCATCCTTTGTGCTACTGAGTAACTCCACTGGGAATTTGGAAAACCAGAAGCAAACCTTGAATGTTTGTTATTTCCTTGAAGACCTTAACGGTGCTAGGAATTAGTGCTGCAACCAGAGAACATGTGAGTATATGTATAAATACTTTGGGCTTTTTCCTAATTACTGTTTGTTTAATGAATCTACTGCATAACCTTTGGAGCAGGTGCCAAAACTATTTTGCATGAAGTTAAACACTAAAGCTGAAAATTACTTGGTCTCTATTTCAGCAATTCCCTACCAAGGTTGCCTCTCTTCATCTTATCTCCCTGGCTCATTTGTCCCTACACAATTTCTGTGAACAATCAGGAAATATCTGGGGTTTTTTTTGTTGGTTTTTTTTTCACTAGTATTATGAAAGTAATTGCTAAAATTTCATATTCCTACATCAGTGAGAAATATGAAAGAATGCATCCTGTGATTGCTTATATGAAGGGTAGAGAAGAAAGGTACAGAGATGAAATCCATGCTGCTCCATGGAGCACACTGCAGGTCCATGAGACAGCCTGGATAATGCCTGTGCAGAAGAGTTCAGGCTGGACAATGTGGTCTGTAGAGCACTGAAGGGCTGTAGCCCAAGGATGATTATCCAGCTCTCATTTTCATTTTGCTCAGTGGGTTTCACACTTCAGCCAGTGTTTTGCTGAAGCAAAACACTGCACAGCAGTGCATGTGTAGACATTCAGTGGCTGTATGAAGGAGTGGAGTTTAGAGGGGAGAGGTTCAAGGCTCCTCCAATTGCACCAACTCTATTTGAGCTGCCCTAACTCAGCTGTAAATATCAGCATTCCAGGAAATCATGCTGTTAACAAGCTGCAAGTCATCCCTGGAGCTCCCTCCAGGACAGATGTGTCCTCTCACCCAGCAGAGAAGTAAGTGGGCTCTGATGGGATTCCTCTGAAGGGGAGTTTAGTCGCCATGGGGTCTAGGGGGCATTTCAGGGGACACAGAACCAGGGCAGGGACATGGAAATGGGAAAGGGACAAGGATTGTTGGAGCCAGGTAGAAGGCTCAGGCAGACCCTGCATAGCCCCAGAGCCCTGGCAGGGTTATGGGTGGGGGCCAAAGTGGAGGTTCTCAGATGGCCCCTGGAGATCATCAAGTCCCCCCTGTGAGGGGCTTAGTCAGACTCAGCATTTAGGCAAGGTCCATGCTGTGGGAGGTTGTGCTGGTTTTGGCAGGGCTAGAGTTCATTTTTTCACAGTGGCTAGGGAAGGGATATGTTTTGGATTTGTGCTGAACACAGCATTGATAATATAGAAATGTTTTTGTTATTGCTGAGCAGGGCTTGTGCAAAGCCAAGGCCTTTTCTGCTTTTCATACTGTCATGCTGGCAAGGAAGTTGGGAGTGCCTGGGAGTTTGGGAGGAGACACAGCTGGGACAGGTGACCCAAACTGACCAAAGGGATATTCCAGACCATGTGGTGTCATGTTCATTGTATAAAAAGGTGTGTGGGGGGGAATATTTAGAGTGGTAACAATTGTCTTTTCAAGTAATCATTATGTGTAATGGGGCCCTCCTGGGGGTGTGTCTCTCATGGAGATGGCTGGACACCTACCTGCCCATGGGAAGCAGTGAATTCATTCATTGTTTTGCTTTGTTTGTGTACACAGCTTTTGCTTTCCCCATTAAACTGCCTATATCTCAACCCATGAATTTTCCAGCTTTTTCCCATCCAATCCCACCCCCGACCCCGATGGTGGGGAATGAGTGATCGGCTGCTCAGGGCTGGGCTGCTGGCTGGGGTTAAACCACGGCAGAGGGTCAGAGCCCAGAGTCATGCCAGCTTTGTAGGGCAAGGTCTTGTGCAGCTGCAGGCCTGGCTCTGCACTGCTGGCTATGGGCTTGAGGCAGCCTGAGATACCTGGCAGGCAGGATGCCATGGGTGCCAGCTGCTCCCAAGGACTGGGAGCTCTCGGGGAGCCCCATGGGCACATCAGGGCAGAGTCCTCCCAGCCAAGCTTATCCCACCTCCAGGGGTTGCAGGGGGCAGTGAGGTGGCCCCAGCCTCATCTCCCTGGGGATGGGGATGAGCAGAGGCCGGGAGTGAGGAGAACCACGGTCAGACACAGCCCAGGGTGTGCCCAGCCAGGATGGGGTGCTGTGCCATGGCCAGACACACCCACAGCTGTAGCACAGCTGGAGGCAGGTACACCTGCCATGCAACCCAGGTAGAAACTAAGGCCCGTGGGCAGAAGGTGTGAGCCCCAGGTGAGACTGGTCATGGTGAGATGTGTCAGTGCACTCAGTGCCCTGTCTGGCCCTAGGAGGAATTTACCTGAATCATTTGCAGCTATTTGAAAAGGGTGACACCTCTCTTTTCCCCCCAAGGAACCTCATTGCTAGCATTAGTAGTAAGTCACTGCCATCAGCTGTATTCAAAAACTTTTTGCATGAAATATTTTTAATGAGTCCAAAGACCAGAACTAACTCCCAGATATATAGCAAGGTGTCAGCAGACAGGCTGATACTTCTTAGAATACCAGTCTCCAGATTAAAATAAATTGATTTTTATTGCACCCATCTTTTTGCCAAGTATTGACACCAAATCTACAGAGCCAAACAATGTGAATTAACAAATTCTTGGTTCTCTGCAGCAACTGGAAACAACAGTGATGACATTAGCATAATTTCTCTGCTGCCAGTTTCTCATGCCAAGTCCTGCTATAAAAATATTTTACTTCTCACTCAGCTGTTGTCTACCAGTAGATAGGACACTTTATTTGCAACAGGGGGTGTTTTATAATGAATATCTAGTAGTATGAGTTTGAATTACCCATTAGTATAGCCTTGCTTTACAAATTAAAGGCCAGTCCTGAATTTTGGCTTTATTGGATGTTTTATATAACCTTTCTCTTCTTTTCACCATAGCATCTGAGAACCATATAAGCATTTAATGCATTTATTCGCAGAATTCCCATGTGAATAAGGGGAATACAATTGTCTGTACTAGAAACACAGGAAATTAATATGAGGCCTGAAATGACAGTACAATTTAGTCTAGCTCCAGACAGGAAATCTGTAGCACAGCTAGAAACTGAATCCTGACTCTTATCCAAGTGTATCTCAGCTACAAGACCATCTCTCATCTGGCTGGACTGGTCTCCAGGAGGAAGGATGATTTCCTACAGCAGAATCACTACTATTTTCACTTTAGCTGCCTCAAAATGGGAAGAGCTGCTCATTCATGTAGGCAAGCACATCCCAAAACGGTGCCAAGCATGCTGAATCCTGTCCTCAGCGTGCCCCTAGCTCCTGCCTGTGGTCACAGTTAGCTGACCAGAGGGGTGTGAGCTGGCTCCCAAAGCAGCCTACATGCTAAAAAGATTTTGAGGGAGTGTGTGAGGCAGTTATCTGGCAGAGCTGCCCATCAGTTTGTGTGTGCATTACATAATAGTCTCACTACAAACTCGCCGTGCCTTTGTGCACATTAAGCCCTTGGCCTGGAATGGAGCAGCCATTTTCACTTGGCATTTTCACTTCACTATCACTTATGGGATTAAGTGGCAGTAATTTCCAAACTCAATCCAGTACAACTATGCCCTTTGGCACACACTGATTTTTATTCAGTGCACCTCAGTTCATTGTGTCAGGTGTAGTGTTCTTGACATTACAAGTATAAGCTGATTTTTAATACTGATAACATCTTGAAGTTAATTCAAATTCTCATGTGATCTCTCATTTAAATTTAAATTATTTGGATTTATAGAGACACACACAGGAGGGACACTGTACAAATGCTTTTGTATGAGTTGCCAGCAGCTCTTATAATATGTTAATTTGGGAGTCTCCTGGTCTTAACTTTCCTTTTTCTCCCTTACACTGCCACAACAGAGTGATATTTAAACATCTTCTACAAGCCAAGGCCTTGAGTTGTTTCCAAATTGACAGCTGCAGGCTGGGAAGTGTGAATGAAAGCTTGTCTGTGCTGCTGATGGCCAAAAAGTTCCAGAGAAAGGCTCTGCAAATGCAGCAGAAATGAGAAAATCTTTCTCTCCCCATCCTTTGAGGCAGTCTGATTAGTTTCTTCAGCTGTCATGATTGTGATTTCTGAGCATAAGCTTGCATGCACTGCTGTAATTTTTCTTTCATGTTATGCACCAAAAGGTTTTGCATGTCCCAGTGTGGCAGTCATCTCTAGTATGGATTTTGGGGCCTCTGTCAATTAGTCCAGCACTTGATCTGTTTGATCATATCCAAGTATCTGAAAGGCTTGAAAACAGGTTAGTTATATAAAAAAATTCCAGTAACAGCTCACTATGGTAATTGCTCTTTTTTTTTTCCTTAAAAGACATGTTGCTACATG